CCCCAGTAACCATAAGATTGTTTACTATGTCTGCAAGTCTGTTTCTATTTTGTAAATGAGTTCATTAGTGTCCTTTTTTTTTTTAGATTCCACATATGAGTGATGTGATATATGGTATTTTTCTTTGTCTTTCTGGCTTACTTCACTTAGAATGATGATCTCTAGGTCCATTCATGTTGCTGCAGATGGCATTATTTTTTATGGCTGAATAGTATTCCATTGTGTAAATATACCACAACTTCTTTATCAGTCATCTGTAGATGGACACTTGGATTGTTTCCATGTCTTGGCTATTGTAAATAGTGTTGCTATGAACATTAGGATGTATGTATCTTTTTGAATTAGTTCCCTCCAGATAATATGCTCAGGGGTGGGATTGCTGGATCATATGGTAAGTCTATTTTTAGTTTTTTGAGGAATCTCCATACCGTTTTCCATAATGGCTGCAGCAAACTGCATTCCCACCAGCAGAATAGGAGGGTTTCCTTTCTCTACAGCATCTCCAGCACTTATCATTTGTGGACTTTTGAATGACAGCCATTCTGACTGGTGTGAGGTGATACCTCATTGTAGCTTTCATTTGCTCTCTATTTCTTTTCTTCCTGCTGTTTGGACACTTTAGCATATCTATTTGGATTAAAGGTAGTTCGTTATGGATTTACGGTATGTTCTTCTGGATTTTTTCCTCTTTGTACGATTGAGATGGCAGAGTTGTCATTATGATTTCAATGTCACTCTCATGAGATGTGCGGTACTTTCAAATAGGACTTTTGGCCAAAAGAGTCTAGGTTTAAAGGGAATTTTTTAAACCTTAAAAATCAAATGCAGTTCTTACAGACTGTTTTTTTGTTGTTGTTGTTTAAGGATAAAATTGCAGAGTACAACAAAATTCTGAAAAGCTTGAAATCTTGATATAATCACTATTACTTTATGTTAGCAATTAAATTAATAAAAATTTGGCTCTGAAAGTTCTTTCTAAAATTAACTATCTAAAATACTTTTAAATAACAGCTCAGTTGTAGAGTGAGTGCTTAGCATGCGTGAGGTCCTGGGTTCAATCCCCAGTACCGCCCTTAAAAAAAAAATCAGGTGGTGAGTAATAGCTCTCACAACACTTACTGATGCTGTGGCATCTGCTCCGGTGATTGTAAGCTTATGTAGAACTTTGTTGGACAGAATTTCAGCATAGGAAGCACATGAGATGTTCCTCCAAGTTATACTTAGACTGCTTAATTATATTTTAAAGGGTACTTTCAGATAATAACAGAGACATAGCACAGTTATTGGCACCATCACACTGGGTGCGATGAGGACCCATGCGCACAGGTGGTCACCGAGCAGCGCAATGTCAGGGATGTGGGGAATGACATGGAATGGGCGGGGCTGCCACCCAGGCTGAAATTGGGCTGAAGTTAAATATCACCGAGGCTGGAGTCCAACTCCTTTGCGTCCCTAAGAGACGCATTGTCTGTTTCTAAACCAGCAGAAAGACAGAGTGAGAGCTGTGTGAGCCTTGGCACCCAGTCCCCCTGAAGCACCATTAAATCGGGGGACTGTCCGCTCTGTTTGAAGAGCAGCGACAGCTAAAAATAGAAGGGAGTTCAACAGGAGGTGCCGACGCTGCTCCTTCCGTCCGTGACTTGGGTGCGCACAACAGGTGATGACTGCGTTGTCCTCCATGGAGTTTACTAGCGAGCCTCACCTCGAGCCAGCTGCCCACCCCCAGCAAGTGTCAGCTCCTCCATCCTCACGATGGCCAGTGAGAAAGGCGCTTCTGTTTCATTATTTCCACCTCACAAACCTGGAAACCACATCCGAAAGAGCCAAGGGGACCACTCATCATCCACAGACCCAGGGTGGAGGCGGGAGCTCTTTCTTCTCTCCAGTTTTAGGGTGGAGGCGCCCACGCGAGGGGCTGGTGGGGCCGGGAGGGAGGGTTTGAGCATCAGGGAGGAGGGTGAAGACCCCAGGGCGGGGTAAGAAAAAATAGGTGCCTCTAACCTGCCCTGGGGACACTCTGCTTCAAAAGCAAAACTGTTATTAAACGATCAAGTGAAGTCAGATAAACATTTTCTTTTCTTCCTCCTCCTCCTCTTTCCTACTGTCCTTCCTCCCCCTCCCCGTTCCTTCGTCTCCCCTCCCTCTCCTCCTCCTCCTCCACTTCATTTCTCCCTAAAGATGGCATAAAGAAAAATTTAGTGTGTTTAAAATTCTTAGGTGCTGGTGCTGGGTTACATTTTTGTCACCCAAATTTTTTTCTGGAAAAGGCAACAAATTCTTTTCTTAATAAATTATTTTTAATTGTGGGGGGTGGGGAACGCACTATGAAATTGACTGTCTTAAAATGGTTAAGTGTACAGTTCTGTCGTGTGCAGTATATTCGCACTGTTTGCATGCTTAATAAACTTGTAAAAGTAAAACATGCCTAGAGGAACAAATGCCCAAATCAGAGGACAGTGTGAAAAATGAACAGAAAGCTCACTCACATGCAACCTCCACTCAAGTTAGGAAGGAGAAGTTACCAACACCCAGAAGCCCTGCTCGAGTTTTCTTCCAATCATTATCCACCCCTCAAAGGGAGCCTCTAAACTGACTTCTCAGATTGAAGATGAATTTTGCCCATTTTAAAATTTTGAACAGGTGGGTTCATGCAGAATGTACTCCTCAGAGTCTGCCTGCTTTGATTTAACCATATGTCTGTGAGAGGCGTTCGTTTTACAGCGTGTTGCAGTGGTTCATTCATTTTTGTTGCAGTATGGTATTCCGTAACATGAATACACCATAGTTCTATGTACCCATTCTAAATGTTGAGGGACACTTTGATTTTTCCTACTTTGGGGGCTTTGTTAAAGATAACAATGGTATGTACGTTTCTTCTAGGGGTGGAATTGCTGGATCAATGGCTCTGCATGTGTTTGGCTTCAGTAAATATTGCCAAATAATTTTTTAAAGTGGTTGTACCAATTTACATTCCCAAGAGCATTGTACAAAAGTTGTGTTGCTCTGTGGAGTAGGGAGAATAATGACCACAACCCAATCCCCCAAAAAAGATGTCCATCTCTTTATTCCTGGAACCTGTGAATATGTTACCTTATGTGACAAAGGGGCTTTGCAGCTGTGGTTAAGTTACAGATATTGACAGAGATGACCCCAGTGACACAGACGGGCTCATATCATCATGGGTCCTTAAATGTGGGAGAGAAGTCAGATGTGACTGAGGAGGGATGGTCACAGAGATGCCACTTTGCTGACCTTGAAGATGAAAGGAGACTTAAATTGTTTGCTATTCTGATGGGTGTTTTGCGGTATCTCATTATGGTTTTAATTTACATTTCCCTGATAAGAAATGAGATGGAGCACCATTTCATATGTTTCTTTACCACGTGGCTATGCTCTTTTATGAGCTGCCTGTTCATATATATTGCCCCTTGTCTGTCCTTTTCTTAATGATTTATAGTTCTTTGTTCTGACTGTAAACTCTTTTCAGTTGTGTGCATTGCAATGATCTTCCACTTTATAGCTTGTGTTTTTGCTCTCTTAATAAGTGTCTTTGGGTAACATAACTTCTAACATAGTCCAAATTATCTTTTTCCCACATGGTTAGCGTGATGGTGTCTGTTCAAGATATCACACCCTATCCCAGTGCCAGGAAGATATTCTCCTCTGTTAACTTTGAAGCTTTATTGTTTTACATGTTCTGTTTGTAGCTCAATCCCTTTGGAATTGATTTTTGTACACGGAGTGAGGTAGGGATCAGGTTCATTATATTGTTTCCTCGTGTGGCATTTTCACAGAACTGATAAATGAGCAAAATTTTTCACAAGAATGATCATTCTGCATCTTTGGACAGAATAGATTGAAAAAGGCTAGTTAGAAAGTTGCTAGTATGGTTTTAAAGTGGTTAATATCTTGGTCAGAGTGTTAAGGTGAGAACAGAGTGTAAGAATGATTCTCAGTGTTTCAGTGGTCAGATCAGTAAGGAACAGAGAGATGACCTGGTTGGAATTGAGGTGACACCAAGACCGTACGCGTGGAAGGACAGAGGCTTTCCTGATGCCAGAGCAAACTCTGAGCGTGATGCTCTCCAAATCCCACTAGCACCACTTAGAACCAGGATTCCAGCACTTGAATTCCCACCCCCCTGTTTGCTCTCTGACTTTTGTTAAAATACTTGACCTCTTTTTGGGTTTCCTTTATTTTTGTTTAATTTTTTAGAGCAGTTTCAGGTTTACAGCAGAATTGAACAGCAAATACAGAGTTCCCACATAGCCCTCCCCACCCAGCCATATATACTCCCCTGTCCTCAACGTCCCTCATCAATGTGGCATATTTGGTACAATCGATGAACCAACATGGACACATTATTATCAACCAAAGTCCATAGTTCACATTAGGGTTTACTCTTGATGTTGTACATTCTATGGGTTTTGACAAACGTACAATGACATGTAGCCACCACTGTAGTATCATACAGGATAATTTCGTTGCCCTAAAAATCTCTTGTGCTTTATCTGTTCATCCCTCCCTCCCTCCCTCTCCCTAAACCCCTGGAAACCACGGTCTTTTTATTGTT